TTTTTAGCCAAAAAAAGTCAGTTAAAAACCTGAATATCTAACTCAAAGCTATCAGGAAATCAATTTTACAAATGAATGACAAAAAATATTAAATTGATCTTATTTACTCAAAACATGCTAAAATGACGCTTTTTAAAGTCATAGCATGAATTTCTGTATATATATTATATATGTTGGGTATAAAGCATAATTATATCTTTATATGTAGCTAGTAAATTTTAAAACAACTACTATGACTAAAAAAAAAAAACCTTTGGAAATTACAGTAACAGATATTGATTGACGTTATTTGACAGGTACTTTAACGTTTCCGTAGTTCTCTCTAACAACTATTGTAAAATATCATAGCCTTGTTATTCTTTACAAGAACAAAGGTTTGGTTCCTGTGACTGCTTAGACTAAGTGTATTTATTTCGACGACATTTATAGAATATCTAAAGAAAAATTCAAATCGAAGAAACGAAAATTTTGCCTGTGTCTCCTTTTAAAGAATAATAAAAAGTTTAAATTGGTATAGGTTGATGCAGCAGTACCCGAACGCTACAAAACAAGATATAGAGGACAATTTTGAGGGCAATCTTTGCAGATGTACAGGTAACTTTAAGTCTCACTTTTATAAAGAAAACATATCCTTGAATTTTCTTAGAAACTAATTATTTTAGCGGTTCCATACGTTTTTTCATGACTCTAAGCCAATAAACGGTCATTCATGACTGAGCCAATAAACGTTCATTGATGACTCTAAGTCAATAAACGTTAATTCATGACTGAGCCAATAAACGTTCATTGATGACTCTAAGTCAATAAACGGTCATTCATGACTGAGCCAATAAACGTTCATTGATGACTCTAAGTCAATAAACGTTCATTCATGACTGAGCCAATAAACGTTCATTCATGACTGAGCCAATAAACGTTCATTCATGACTGAGCCAATAAACGTTCATTGATGACTCTAAGTCAATAAACGTTCATTCATGACTGAGCCAATAAACGTTCATTCATGACTGAGCCAATAAACGTTCATCCAATAACCACATTGTAAGCTACATGTACTTGAAAACAATTCTAACCGATACAAGCTTTCTTGTCAATTTTCAACTTAGTCAACCTCTCTGCGAACATTTTGCCTGCAATACTTAAATGCCATCGGTTAAGGGGCAAAACGTTTGCTCTACCGTTTCTTCGGAACAAGCAGATAATTCATCAGCTCTTAACCATTCTCCTGCTGAATTTCTTAAATGAAGTAGCATAGCTTTCATTTTTATGACTGTCCATTGTAAATGTTTTGAATGTCAAGATGAAAATTTTTAAGTGAGTCAGCAGGTCAGACTGCGCTGAAGTAATGTGTTTGGTTTGTTCAACATCGCCACCAGAATAAACAATTTGGACGAGCAAACATCACGGATGTGCAGCCTGGCCTTGCTTTATACTGGCAGCAATGGATTATCACTTCCTGTTAAACTTATATATTTCGAGTTATATCATTGATTTTAGGTTATCGCCCCATTCTTGATGCCATGAAGTCTTTAGTTCCGGCCACAACCACGGATATAGAGGTAAAGGGCAATTCAACTTACATAAGTTTTAACAATAACTAATTAAACTGTGTTTTTTTTCCTTTAAAAACTGAAAGACTTCTATATCGCTATAGTTTTTAATCATACATCTTTAGAGGGTTTTTTTTATATAAAAAGTACCCCAAAAATCTTAATATTACAATAAACTATCATTATTATTATCGTATTGGATTTGGACACAGCAACCACAACACATAAAGAGAAAGAAAAGAAAGAAGGAAAAGACGTGTCGACAAACATGCGAAATATTATCTGGAAAAAAAGATACTAACCTTCAAAGTGTTCATCAGTACATGCATTTGAAAGCGATATACATTTGCCCACTCGTCTTTTCGTATCCAAATTAAACACGGTTTAAAAACAAAGTGTGATAGCATGTTTACTTAAATAGCCTTCTCATTCTCTCGTATTTTGAAAAAACATTTATATGCACAAATGTATATTAGATTTTAGCTGTAATAATTTAGCTCGTATCTCAATATCTTACATAATGGATAAATCAGAGACTTTTATTATACCGTAATATTAAGCTCAATGTATAGACATATATGATTGTGCATATTTTGAAAATTGTATGACATACCTATAATAATGTAACACATATTAATTTTTCTCTTTCTTTTAATGTATTTATATACATGTCTATTAAAAGTTAAAGAATCATCATTATATTTCTTCATAACCTAATATAGGATTTATCAAGAAAACTTTGTCAGACCACGGGTAAACCTTGTGGGTCCCGAACTGGAAGCTGCGGTGGTGGATGCCAGAACCATAGCGACTCTCGATCTATCAAAATGGTGTTCGGTGATACTAGGTGGCAGAAAGCAGCAAATCTAGCGGATCTATATCAGATGTTAAGTGCGGCTAGCGGGCAGAAAGTTCGACTCCTGGGTGCTAACACAGGCACAGGTACATTCTTGTGAACAATACAAAATATTAATTATCATATAAACTTAACATTCCAAATTCTGTCAATGTTGAAAATAGAATACTACTTTCGCATGTATAAATTATAATTATTTGATACTCGACTTTTTGTACTCAATCAAGGTCTTCTTTATCATTGTTTATTTACTACATACCATCTCACAAATATCAGCATGTCTCCAGAAAAAAGTACATATATAAAATTGTCACCGTTCCTTGTAAATAAGACAGCTTGTCCTTTTAGCCAATCAAAACGGAGAATTTATTACCACATGATATCAAAATGGCCGACAAAAGACCTTAAAAGGAGTACCTACGGTGCTCGCCATCCGCAATGTTTTTGTCGGGTTTTCAATATACAGATTTGAAGTGCTATATATATTCATGTACGGAGTGTAGGTCCTACATGGTAAACAAACAAGTTCATTGAATATTAAATTTTCTCTTAAAAGAAAAAACATTTAATTAACTCCATTTAGGAAGGAGTCTATTTCACGAAAAAATAGTTTTCGAATACTCGACTGAACGACAATTCCTAGCATATTTGGAAATGCTAAATTGCTAATTTTTGTGTAAGAATGTGAACATACCGATTTACTAACATAACTATTTTAGGTTATTTTGAGAATGAGGCTATCAAGAACTTTGACGTTGTTATTGATATATCAGGAGTACCAGAGTTATATGTGAATACCCATGACGTAAGTTATACATGTATATATATACAATATGATTATAGAAACAGAGTTATGAATATCAAGGATGTGGCAAATGGATATCTTAAAGAATCATTTAATTAAAAACATTTCATGAAGTCTTTGTAATTCAAAGTGCACAAATTAACTGTGATGTTTTGCTATCTGCTAAATTGTCTTATCTCTACAATGCCTCTTTTTTCTCTTTCAAATAAAATATACAATACTTATCATACATTTGATGCAATAAAATACATGTATAGACAATATCTGAAGCATGTATAATTCATAGTGAACTGTATGAAGTCACGATATCGGTCATGCACACAGTATAATCCCATGCTGAGAAATATGCTTGTTTAATTCAATCTAGTCACAGACCAAGACGTTCACCCTAGGCTCATGTTTGAGTCTCACTAATTTGATGGACCTTTTCAAAAGTGAGGCAGCCAAGGTCGGGGCAACCCAGAACTTTGATGAACTGAAGAAGTATCTGTATAGAGTCGCTTCATCTCCTATAAGGAACGTACGTAACTATATAATAGCTTTAACCCTTTCAAGACAGATCCTACCAATGCGACCGGTGCAGACCATGACCAACGCGCACATCTGTGCCGTCGGCTCATGGCTGTCCCTGTTTGCTATTCAGTTATTGCATACTTTACAAGTTTTCTCTCAAAATGGTCCATGGTTTTGATCAGATTGAAAGATGGACAAGTCCATTTCACCTCTTTATTCATTTGTACTGTAAACAGTTGTACTTCAATATGTGATAAACAGATTATTATAATTGTGTAGCTTCATTTCTAAATTTATTGAACTTGTTCAATAAAACAGTATTATTTTATTCAACTCGTTCAATAAATTCAATATTGAACCGACACTCATTCAATATCCTCTATGCATTAGTTACATTTATGTAGTGAAAGAAAAAAAATAAGATAGTATAATATAGAATATCTCTCAGAAGAAATATATAAAATAATTAAAGCGCTACCAACATATCACATTTTTATTAGAAAAAACGGTTTTACTTCATATTTAGTAAGAGAAGTTCACAATATGACTAAAATTCAGATCATCTTTCGTTGAACATAAAGTAAATTTTTCATTTGTTGACTTCAAACGCGTAAGATACATTCACTTCGTTTTTGCCACAGTACATTGTACGGTGAACATTGTAGACTTTACAGTATTGATGTACAATAATGTAATTATTTATGAACATTCTTTGACATTTCCAGAGAGGAACATGGTCGGGTAACTTGATGTTAAAGAATAAATATCACAGCTTCCCGTCGGACGTGTTCAATATTATGACAGTTCTAGGAGCTTCACTCACCATAGGTAACACGTTTCATGATTGTCATTTATTTTATTTTTAGCATAATTGTAAATTTTTACTTTTTTAATGTGTTTCAGTCATATTTGTTTTTCACCCGTTTTGTCCCTTGTAAAAACTAGGGAAAAAAGAAGTAAAATCATTAGTGATTCTATTACAATAACAGAAATATCAATTACACAATAAATGGATGTATGGGATCCATTTTGAAGGGGATTATCCAGTTTTATCATTTAAAATTTTGCAGTTATGGCATGAAGTTGTCTGACAAAGGTAACTGCTATGTGAAGTTGTTTCAACTTATGTAACAAATAAGCAAGTATATAACATAAATGACAAAAGTTATCCTATTATTATTATTATTATCAGGTCCAACACCACAAAGTGTTGTAACATGCGAGGCATTCTACAATACGGATATGACAGGTAAATGTTTGACAAAAGCAACATTTACAGAGTTTGGCCCCAATGATGTCGTCGCTTGTTTCAAGGTCATGCCAAGGTCACAGGTATATTGTTCACTAGACTCTAAAACGTTTTGATATTGTTTTAACTAGCTTGGAAGATATATTGCTCTGTCCAAATAAGCAAATATTAAAAATTAACGAGTGCAAAAAGAAAAGAAAGACATATAGAACATAAATTTGAAAAGAAAAGTAGTGCAGTACTTATAAAGCGCAGCTGAGTTATGTATATAGCATTATTGCAATATGTTTAATTAAAACCAATCTAATTAATGCTGCGGCAATATGTAAAGCATACTGGACTGAATATTATTTGTAATGCGCTGCTTTTCGCGCATTTTATATAATCACACTATACTGTTGCATATTTGCAGAATTGTTTGGCTCACGTGAACGGAGCGTTCCGATGTGCAGTTGATAAGACTCACGGTTACCTAGTAACCAGCCAACCAATCATATCTATTGGTGGTATCAGTAATACATTTGTAAGTTTTTTGTCTGTTTGTTGCTTTTTCGAGAAATTAAACAATTGTTTAACAGTTATACTCAAAATTAATAGTGAGCAATAAAAGTCAGAACAGAATTCCGGTGCTAGGGGCGTGGACAGTAACTTGCACTTCCATTATCGTCCGTGATACAATCAAACCAACATTTTCAATTTTCTCGTTTTTGTTCCGTTTATTTTCTATTTTAAGAATATACAAATGTTACTAATTTTATTCTCTATGTGTTTATTGAGACGCGTTAAAAGGTTCAATATTTACCAGTTTAGTAATAAAACAATGACCACTTATTCTCAATAGTAAAACGTCTTGTGAAACATTTTTATACATATTTCAACTTCAGCACAGGGCAACAGCAACAGAACAATATCTGTACAGAAAACAGCTGTCGTCTCCTTCCACCATACAAGGTATAATGTCCATTTTTTTTATTATTAAAGCTTGTAACACAATAAAGAACTGTTTAATTTTAAATGATCCATGCCAATACACAAGACTATGACTGAGTCGATACGCCTTCGATCTATTCTATGTCCCGCGGTAAAATACGTTCATGTATTCATCTCATTAACCCTTAACCTGTCGTATATCTAAAATGGATCGTTCCAACTTCGAATTTGAAACAGTGTATTCAAAATTTAAGGGATTTCAATACGAAAATACAAAAAGCAGCTACCAACAGTATAGAGATTGATCAGACTGTACGGATGTGTAGGCTTGCCTGGCTCTATTCTGGTGGCAAAGGCTGAGCAGGTTAAGGGACCTCCTCTTGTGCAATCAAATATTACGGGGTCTTGTTTGCGCAGTATTATATCAGAGTTAACGATGTCCATATGAAGAAACTGTTTATTTGTTATATCTGTTATATGTTGCGGTTGCATTGTAAATGAGCTTATGGTATTGACAGGTGCTCTGAATGTGCTAGCAAGTGAACTAAATCCTACAGCCGGGTCCGGTCTCACCAGTATATCATATAGGAAGACGGTCGCTTGTGCTCTACTGTATAAGGTCAGTTGTTGATTGGTCAGTTTTAAACTTTTTTGTCACTTGTCAATATGTGATAGAAGTTTTTATTTTATGCTTTCCAGTGTTTTATTATAATATATCAGATGATTATATTCTGATAAACCACTAGTGAAATTTATAAAATATAATTTTCACTGTAGCCGGACTATATCAGAATGCGGATGGAAAAAAAATCATAACTAAATGGATTAACAGGCAGGAATAGATGCCGTCATGCGTTAATTTTGCTTCTTTAGGAAAAGAAAGTCGATGTCACCATACATCATGTTAAAAACGTAACAAAATTAGAGAAATTTAACAGAACTATATTTCAAAATTGATGATGTGACGTCATGATGTGATGACGTCACAAAGGAGAATGCGCGACGTTACGCGGCAAAATCAGTAAAATAAAACTTAAAATCACTTAAAAAGCATGAAATAAAAAGAAAATTCATTTGTTTTACATATAAGATTGAAATATATTTCATTCGTGAACACCAGCTATTATATTTTCACTCGTGGCTACGCCACTCGTGAAAATATTGCATCTGGTGTTCACTCAGTGAAATTATATTTCAATCTTACATGCAAAACAAACAAAATATCCTCTCTTTATTACATGCTTTTCGGTGGTTTATAGAAATATATCAGTGATATAAAACGGGTAATTTTACTGTTTGAAACAGTGAAATTACCACTTTGATAATTTCACTGTTTTGAATTTAAGCCCCTTACGTTGTTTCAGTGAAATACCAGCGTGCGCAGTACTGGGTACCAACTTAATGACGTGACGTCGTAAATGACGTCACGTTGTATTATCATTTGGCGCGCTTTTCACTCAGTATTAGGTTAAATGTCTTTTTAAAACGTTTCTTTGCATGTAATAAAAAGCAAAATATGTTTAGTGTAGTGTAAAATCGAAATATATATATCACCTTGTGAACACCAAAAGTTCATATTTCACTCGTGGCTGCGCCACTCGTGAAATATAACTTTTGGTGCTCACTCGGTGAAATATATTCCGATCTTACACTGAACTAAACAAATATCCTCTATATAATCGTTACCAAAAGCACAATCAAAAGTAGATACATGTACACAGAAGTATATATAAAATCGTTTGAAGTTTAAATTGTAAAATAGAATTTACATTGTTTTTCATTTGATTCCAAACTATAATTATTTATGGAAATAATGAAAATCAAAAAAGAATTTAAATAAAATAGATAAATATTGTTTATGCAGTAATCATTAATTGATTTATATAACTAAATGTTAAAACAAGTTTCTTCTTTATCAATGGCAACAATTGATGTGTTTGCCTTAAATTATTTATAGTCCGTGTTTAAAACGAAGTCTCGCTGATGAAAAAACAACAACAAAAAAAACAACAAAAAACGCCATTAATGACTTTTTTACATACAGTTTGTCCTGCGTGTTCTTGGAAACACGGCCAGTTATCAATACAGAAGTGCCACAACGGTTCTACATGATATACGGCCTCTGTCGTCTGGTGTCCAGTCATATGATACAAACAAACAAGAGTGGCCATTGAATGAACCGCTGAAGAAACTAGAGGCTGATATACAGGTAAGTGGGATAATTTATTGGTGTTGCCTTTTCGTGATTTTTACAATTTGATTAATAAAGTGCACGGTTTCCGATGACATAGACATGTATACTACGGCTATTCTACTAATGACTAGACAACTTATGAAGATTTCTCTTCTCAGAAACAGTATATTATGATGATAAAGTTTCTCAAAGAAAGCAAATTTGTCACCCTTCTTTTAATCAATCAGAAGATTTTGTTTTGACATTCTTAAAGATATTAAAAGGTGACCCTGAACCGGCTGGAAATAAAAATGATACGCCTATGCAACCAGTATAGAGCCAGACCAGCATGCACATTCATGCAGTCTGACAGGGCTCTGTTCTGTTGGTAATTTAAATTTTGTATTTTGATTTTGAAATCCCTTAAACTTTAAATGAACTATATGCAGGGCAAATCCATTAAGTTCAGAAAGTAGATTAAAGGGGTACTTAAATGGAATTAGATATACATGTTATGTATAATGTCATTGGTCATGATCGGGTTTTAAACAACTACATGTATAAGAAAATGCAAAAGAAAACTGTGAAAAAAGCGTATTTATTTATTTTAAACTGATACATTAGGCAAGGGGGATGTGGTTTCTATATATGGCACGATAAATCTGCCTCGAGGTTTTACAGTTGGTGTATTCCTATTGAGAGCTGCTGGTTCCGCTACAGGCTTTACGTGTATTATACCGTTCTCGTCTTTCTCGTGAGTGATTGGTTCCTGGAAAAGTTCCTCGATGGGTGCGCATGCGTCGCCGATACCACGTGACTTGATTAAGTCTGCAGTGAGATCATTGATGTATTTGTTGTTCAGGAAATCGTCATACCACGCGCTCTCTATCAGTCTTACCTTTTCCATTTCTTCTTTTACCTTTTCTATTTCCTCTGCAAATCGTTTTTGTTCTTCCTAGAAAAGTAAGAAATGGAGTTTTCCAAATTGTGTGTAAATATTAAAATATTTTTTTTTTAAAAGAACAGTTTTGCTGTTTGGTCCTTTGGTCATATTGCCTTGTTGGTCAAAATCATGGTTTACAATAATGAGGAGTGCAAGATATTTTTTGTCATTTTACAACTATAAATAAATAAATAAATAAATAGATAAATAAATAAATAAGAGTATATTTTTTCGTTTGAGTGAAATATGGAATATATTTTCACGAAACATAATAAAATGCCACATATTTTCACGAGCTGGAACGACGAGTGAAAATATGTAGCATATAATCAAGTAGAGTACAGTAGTGTGCCACTGTCTCGCTGTATCATTTTTGTCTATTAAATTGTACTAAATCAAACACTAACAAGATCCAATAAGATTAAGACAAAAGCTTTTAAGACGAAATTTCATTTATTTCAATTATTCATTAGCTTTTTGACAATTTTTATTGAAAAATAAAAACAACAAAGAAAACACACAATATTTTAGTGATATAATTGACAAATATAAAATAAGGATTTACGGAAATGAACCATTAGTATGTTAAGAAAGCTCATTCTGTTTTCGCATATGCTTATAAACGTAAAATGTGACCATTACATATAATATAGTCACGTGACAATACAACAACATACACCACAAGTTATACCTGCACTTTTTCATGTTGTTTCCGGGCAACTTCAAAGTCAATAACTATGTTTCCAACACCTATGGTCACAGTGTGTCTGTTGAACGGGAACTTATGTCGGGGCTGAAGTTACAAAGTTTATATAATTATGTAAAAAAGGAGAGATATATAAATGTATCCTACAAATATTACGCGCGGACAGTCGAGTTTATTGTCGATAGAATCAGTCTAGTAAATTGACTGTTTATAAAAATAATTTAAAACACTAAGCTGGTTAAAATTTATTAGTACGTTATTGGTCGCGCGACTGTGCCGCGCCTGATCTATTTAATTTTAAACTTTAACCTAAACTGAATGTTCAGAGATAATCATGCAAAATTATGTCTATAATTTATATTTTTGGCATGATATTTTACAACACTGTACAAATTTGAAATTGAAGTGTAAAAATGTTAAAGGCCCATTCAGCCTCATCTTTTTTATTTTTTTAAAAAGCGTCTTCTTATTGTCCTGTTAAAGTTTCGAAAAAATGTTACTCATAGGCCATATTGCTGAGACATTTTTTGCTTTTTTTGCGTTTTATCAATTAATACAGTTGTAGTGAATAAGTATTGTGTATGGAAATCAAAATACTTTGTTACATTTTGCTATCTTAATAACGAAATGTTTTTACACTAAATTTCGTTTCTTCAGGTGAAAAAAAAACACAACAATATCTCACATGTATTAGAAATTTGTCCTTTCTGCGGAAGGAAAATTAAAATTCATTTTGAGAAGCTTTATGGGCCTTTAAGAAAAAATGCATGTAAGCATACCACATTGTTGATGGCGATTGCTAGAGGTTGTAGCTTAAAGTCCTGCAGATACTCTTGCCGCAACATATCGCGTATCAACTGACAACTGTCAGAAACCTCTGTAAACAAGTGATAACATTTATTTATTTTTTAGTAATCATTTCATCATTTTCTACTTATAGTTATTATAATTATAAAAGCACATGCTTAAAATCTAAATTTGACGCGAAAGACAACTTCCACACCACACTGCGTTCTATCTAATAAATCATGGGTCCTGAAGCTTTTGTTGAACAACTTTTATAAATATTAATTATCTAGATTCTACAGAAAGTAATATAAAAAGAACGCGAGACAATGTCTGAACAAGTTAAACTTTTTATTTAAATAACCTACTACATGTAGTTTCGGGCATTCACTGTCATTATTCTAGGAAATATTGAGCAATGTAAGTGAAATAAGATTTTCAACATTTGAAATGCTACTAGAATAAGGCACGATTTTCATTGTTTATCACTTTTTAGAAATGTTAGGTAAATGATATTCGTTTAATTGGAATTTTCAGTAACACACAGTTTGAATTGTTTACTTGTTTATCGACTCTGAGAAAAAATATTTCAATAAGACTTGTAAAATGTGAAATGCTACCAAGAGATATTTCCCAACGATCACAGAGGAGTAATTTTTCAATTTAATTTACCATTGAGATAAGGTTCTTCTTTAAAATCCTTGTAGTCCGTTTTTCTGATGTATTCACCATCCGACATAGGTCCCTCATATCTGGCGAAGGATGAAAAACATCATCATTTTATTTTCTTTCTTATAAATACTAGTCTATACGACCAATGCCTGTAATTAACTTGTCTAGTTCTACTGAATTCTTTTTGTATTGAAATTTCATATATTTATATCTAGATGTGGAATCTCTTCAATATTATAGAAATCTATACATGTTTAATTAAAGCTAGTAGACAGTTTGTCTTTTCTTAAGAATCTAGATTTATATAAAGTATAACAAAGCAAAATTTATACTATTAGTCGGAAAGCGCATTTCGTAGACATATTACATAATACATATACAGTCAAGTAAATATTTATTAAAATAAGTGTTTTATTTGCGTTGCTGCTCTTCCGTTTGATATAGAATTATCCACTGTATATAACACATTTGAGCCGCGTCACGACAAAACCAACATAATGGGTTTGCGACCAGCATGGATCCAGACCAGCCTGCGCATCCGCGCAGTCTGATCAGGATCCATGCTGTTCGCTATCAGATTCTTTACTTATTATAGGGTCTGTAAGCGAACAGCATGGATCCTGGTCAGACTGCGCGGATGCGCAGTCTGGTCTGGATCCATGCTGGTCGCAAACACATTATGTTGGTTTTGTCGTGACGCGGCTCATTTATGGATGTACAACTTATTTAACCTATCACACAACATAACATGACTTAGTTAGCATCATGCAAGTCTTATCTAATTAGATCGGTGCAGGAGTTATATAGGTCCTAACAAGTATTTAAGATATACAAACGTATTCCATTTTTATGATCTTATCATCGTTCCTGTCAGAATAAAATGCACACAGAACTAAGTTGATGTAGATATATATAGAGAAAGCTTTGTCGAGATAATTTTAAAGGTCAATTTAAGCCTAAAAATGCTATGAATTTTATTCTTCAGAAGCTTCTTAATGTTGATGCCCTGTTTTAAATTCCAATATGTTTATCATGGCCATATAGCTTAGACATCTTTTGCATTTTAGCAATGAGTGCAGCAATAGTGATCCAAATAGTAGTTTGTATGGTGCCCAATTTCAAAATACTACTTTGTTTATATTTTACTACTTTTATGACAAATAACTTCACTTTCAGCACTAGATCTACTTCGATCACTATTTAGTATTTTCCTAACCCATTCTTAATTATTATAGATCTAGAACTTATTTTTGCCCTTTCTATAGAGAAGGAAAATATTCATTTGTGAGGCACAATGGGCCTTCAAATCTAGATCCATGTTTTCCAGGAACACACAAATAGTCACACTTGTAGACATTTAATAGACACTGAGCTATAGTTTATGGTCTACAGTAGAGATCGTGATAGACATGCATGATTTAGGATAATTCATAAGCTTATTAAAAGAGATCTTTCAAGATCTAAATTAATCTACAGTAACTAAATTAACATTCCAATGAAATTATAAATCTAGTCTACCTTTCTTCTATTGTGTTGTCCTCCATTTTATACTAAGTTTTTCCTTAGTTACATCGCTAGATTCAGTATTCTTCTTTGCATTTTAATTAATCGTGTATTTTGTTCGCCACAACGTCAATGATAATCATGAATTTCATGACGTCACAAACATGACGTATTTATCAGGGCCAAAGATTCGCGTTCACGTGCACATGAAAGATATTAGAATAGTATTAGACTATATAGATCATATCGTGGACTCAACTTTGCACAAAGAAAATAGAGAATCCGTTTTTCAGCTTTTCAGGCACATTGTAGACATAAATTCATAGATTTACCGCTCGGATCCCACCGTTACTGTGTGACGAAACTTAACATAATTCAAATCTACTACTCTATAAAAACTGATGTCGGAGAACTACATTCTTATTCAAAGTCATGTCGAAGAACGATATACTTATAGCTCTGTAACACCGCACTTTGGGGTCAAACGCACTTTGGGGTACGACCCCAAAGTGCGTTAAACTTCACACCGCACTTTGGGGTCAAACGCACTTTGGGGTCAAAATTGAGAAATTGACCCCAAAGTGCGTTAATATGCTACATATCAACGCACTTTGGGTTCCAGAGGTCTAAAGGTGTCATCTGAGTTCTGCTTAAATATTGAGTACTGGCTTATTTTCGAACTGCGACATTGAAATATTTGAGGTGGAGTTCAAGATGGAGGTCAATACTTAATGATGCTTAAGTGATAAAAGTTTTATTAATTTTACCACTTGAAATATCTAAAAATTGTGTTCATACAACAAAATTACGGTGGCATAAAAGTGACATTAGCATTTTTTTCAGTTTTGCATAGTTACATATTTTTTTTTAGTTTTGCATTCATATTCGTACATATTTTATATTTGTTTTTCGTAAATATTTTAGCCAATCAAAACAACATTCACATCTTATAACAGCATATAGTTAAGTATAAAACAAGCACAGTGGTTTGGTCACATTTTGGCCCATTTTTGGAATCGGCCAAGTCGTTTTCGGCCGGGAAAGTCTAGTTTCGGCCGACCCTTTTGGGCCCATTTTTTAAATTATATGTGTTTTATATAATTTTTTATTATAATATACTATTTTGTTAGTGACTATTTGATAAGGGTTGTTGATTGGTGATCAGTTAATTTTACATGAATATGCACCACTCAAACACCTTGTGTCAAATGTTAACCACATCCAGACCATATGCAGAACCTTTCTTTGGGTTACTGCGGACTATACATAGTAATGTTGTTATTTTTTTGATGCCTCCAAAAATGAAAATGTTGGTATTTGCAAATTGCATTTACAAATGGGGTACTGTAATTTACAGATGGCGAAGTGTTTGATAATGGTGTTTTACAAATGGCGTAATTATTCAAACCTCTACTTTGCAAATGGGGTCATGTAAAAATATGTACGAAAAAACAAAAATTAAATATGTACAAAAAAACTAAAATAAAATATGTATGCAAAACTAAAATAAAATATGTATGCAAAACAAAAAAAAGTATGTATTCAAAACTAAAAAAAATATGTACGAAAAACAAAAAACAAAACAACAAAAAATATGTACGAAAAACAAAAAAAGTATAAAAAAAATGCAAATGTTACTTTTATGACACCGTTCAAAATACTTTAGTACAGAAATTATGTATTCCTAAAATTAAAAGATGCTGCGAAAAATATCCCGTTCTGTCAGTCATTTACTTGATAATTTTTGGTGCCATATTGAGCTCCATTTTAAATATTATGTTGGAATGAAATAAAATGCTGTTTGCATTTTTTCCCAAAGAACTATAAATATACTCTATTGCAATGTTCTGGTGAAACATCAAGTTTTTCGATCGGACTATATATAGTGATTTTTACAAATACATTATTAAGCTTATCAACAAACTAAAGGGTTTTTGTAACAACTGTTCGCTAGAGGTTTTTTTATGGGAAATCTTACATATTCTAAAGAAAGGGCAAACATGAATTTTATAATGTTAAAAAAATGGTATCAGAGAAATGTAAGATGCTTGTAATCTGAATAAAGGAACGATAAATGTGAAATTATTTGCCATAAAAGTAGTCAAAACAATGTAACAAAAAGCAAAAGATGAAAAAGATGGTCCAGGTAATTGCCCAATATGTATTTTTGGATAATATAGAAGAACATCAAAATAAAAAAAAAAACTTTTAAGAAAAACAAATAAAAGCAAAATGGACCTTTAAAATATTATTTTTTTAACCCTTGAGGGTGGGGGGTCGATACCCCACAATCCCCTCTTTACCCTCAGTGAGAATTTTACATTATTCTGAAGCTCCGCTCTTAATGTGCGACTACTTAAATAGTTATTTTGGTACTGCCTGTACGGACTACTACTTAAAGCCGCATCTACACCTAGTCAAGTTTCTTATATGTCACATTTAGCTAAATGAATGGCTCTTTCAACATATTATCAGGCACATTTTTTACTGAAATGTCTAACTAAGATTACCCATAATTTATACCTTTGTCTATGCTAAGACTATCATACACTTAACAAATCTTATAAGTGTGCACCTTTTATGTCCTTGTAACTTTTTCGTTTATCAATATATTTTTACAAAATTTTGTGTTCTGACTATTGGCTGCATTTCCACACATTTCATGTGCTCAAGCATGTCAATTTTAATTATGAGATGCGTTCAACGATGGACGAACGATATTTACACAATGCACGAAAAAATTGTGAGAATGGGTGGAATAAGATTGCACATGATATCTCGGATACGATTGAGATCGACATATCAGAAAAACACCACATGGGTAGATTATCTATACAACATCGTGGCATAACCCTAAGATTGGTCAACGTTGGTGTGCACCAAACAGAGGTTGGTAACATTATGTATTTCTTTAAATAATTATTTTAATTCCTTTGCATTGTAAAAGCCGAAAAACATTTAAATAAGACGAACATAAATGCATATTTTTATTTAGTAATTAATTGTCTGTATCATTTGTAGGTTGCGCCTAGCATGAGTGTACACCAAACTACCTAAGAAGGCTAGTCATTAAGTACAGAGCAACTTCTTTGGTAACCTTCCTCACCAACCCCAAAATTATCTACAACGGTATGTTAGATCTATGTGACGACGCTGCCAGGCTGTAATAGTCAGGGTGGGCACACACAGTATAAAGGACATCATATTGCAACATCGACTTTCGACACGCATTCACGTTTCTTAAAAATTTAATCTTAAATTTGTATCTTGAATGAAAAGTACTTAATAAAAATGATAACATGTCTCTTTTTTGTATTTATTGAAAATTTCAGCATGATCAGGAAAATATTGATACACCTATGAAACCATTTATACATGCACACTTATAAGATTTGTTAAGTGTATTTCTATAAAACGTGTAAATAAAAATTGGGAAAATAATGCATTTAGCTAAAAACAATGAGTTAATGAAAGGTGTACATTCTTTTAAAATAAATGGACAGTTTGAAAAAAAAAATATTTTAAGCTTAATAATTGATACAAATTCTTTATTTGGTGAAAGTTCTTCACTTACTAATCAAAAACATTTAAATTCCTATTGATTCTACTATAATTCAGGGCACATGCTTTGCGTCTATTTAATACCTTGATTTTTTGTTTACCATTGGTTTTGACTACAATACATTATTTAAAACATAATGAACATTAATTTTCTATGACCCCAAAGTGCGGTCGTTTGCCTGATGTTAAAAAATGTATATGTACCTGTCTAACGCACTTTGGGGTCGAAATTGGACCCTAAAGTGCGTAACGCACTCTGGGGTCGGACCCCAAAGTACGTAACGCACTTTGGGGTCGGACCCCAAAGTGCGTTTGACCCCAAAGTGCGGTGTTACATAGCTCCATAGTATACCGACCAAGTCTATCGTATCACAAAATACTTTCAAGCCTTTTAGATGCACATTTTATTTTTTTAAACAAAGAGAACTAGATGTATATTAACAAAAAACTTGCTATCTTTTTTAAAAATGCCCAGTTACTAGATCTTAGTTTAAAGTTGATTGGTCTACAATTGGCATGTATTCTTTATAAGTAGATATATTTCAGATATTGATAAAACCAACACAAATACTAAATTATATATTGTATTAATTAAGGACTTACCATTATAGACCAATTCACTTTAATCAGTTTTCTGCTAATTCAATAACAGATCTATATGCTGAAAACAGTTCTATTGCTATATATTGATCTGATTTAATCGGTTACTATTATAAAGTAAAATTAAACTGTCTATTTTTAGTGTACGGGCGAGGCGGAATATACCGATGATTTGCCGGCGTATCCCGGACAACTTCACGCAGCGTTTGTGACAAGCACGCAAGCTAACGCTACAGTACAATCAATCGACACAGCCGATGCATTAGTAAGTAATTAATATACTATTATATTGTTATATAATATCTAAATCATAATCGTTTAATCTACGTTATCAATTTTTCTTTATGAGGAAATGACGTTAAAATAAAATGTATGTTATATAAAAGTAAAATGAACATGCTCATTTTGTAATGAAAGAGTTAGTAATAACAATATACGCCCCAATAATATACGCTATAAATTATCAGACTAAAATTCACATACAGCTGTTTTCCCTCAAAGATTTGTTATTAAAAAAATAGATAAATAAAAAAAATTAAAATGATAATATAGATATTGCTTAGAGCGCATGTATTCCTATCAAATGAAGAGTTATTTGCTAATTTTATGGCATATTACCTAATGAAATGATGAAATTTGCGAGATTATTGATGTACAAATAGTTTACTTGTATATTCTTCGATTTCAGAAAATTCCAGGTGTTGTGAAAGTGTTGACATCGTTTGATATTCCCCAAGATGCCGAAAATGACATTCAGCCTCCTCTATCAATATCAAACGAGACCGAACCCGAAGAGGTAATTTTTATATTCTATCACGCTTCACATTGTTCCCCATTCAAACAGATATGAGCTGCGCCATGACAAAACCAACATAATGGGTTTGCGACCAGCATGGATCCAGACCAGCCTGCGCATCCGCACAGTCTGGTCAGAATCCATGCTGTTCGCTTACCAACCCTGTTACAAGTAGAGAAACTGATAGCGAACAGCATAGATCCTGATCAGACTGCGCGGATGCGCAGGCTGGTCTGGATCCATGCTGGTCGCAAACGCACTATGTTGGTTTTGTCATGACGTGGCTCATATGGCCGTCAAGTGCATTATTACACGATTTATGAACAGCACAAAAAAACCCATCAAATATGATGCCAATAAACCAAATGACGTCTGGAAAATTACTTCTACGCTTTATGTAGTTCAGCATATTTTATCAATTCTCTTTTTATAAGCATGTATATTCATCTTTCTTGCTTTGTAGTATAATAATGCATGTTTTATCGTTCATTTTTTTTGTTATAATCACTCAGGCTTAATAAACCAAAGTTAAGGCGCGCGGCTTTTCTACATTGTGATGGGACTTACTTCATTCCTTTAACGACTTGATTGTAACAATTTAATCAATATGAGCAAATTACCTACGACGACTTCAAGTTTTGTCTCATTCGTTTCATTTCTCAATATAAATATGTTGCCTACATTTTGGTATTATGTTTATGATAAATAATCAAGATCTATACAGTATAACTAAATACGTCCGCTATTCTTTCAGTTGTTCTCTAGCGGGAAAGTAATGTATTATGGGCAGTCGCTGGCACTAGTAGTTGCAGGTATGTACCAAACATATCATTCATCAACGTTTATATCAATTTTCTTATGAAATATAATTATAATTATTTTTTTTTTTGTCAAAAACTTTTGCTGTAAAATCTTTAAAGAAACATTATTGCGGAAGAGTTTTTGAACATTCAAGTGTGCCATCATATAACCACGTTTTTTCGTTTCAAAATGTTGCTTCACAGTAAATGAGCTGTTACCACGTTTCAACCCTTTCCCAGTTTCTTTTTACTAGTATTTGTTTTCACAAATTGACAACTATAATTATATACCTACCTGTAAGGGAATAACTTTCGAGATCTTAAAAATTTATCAGTGTACAAGAAACGCTTTTGAACGAAGGATATTAAGTCTTTTTCAAGCCTTGATTTGTAAAGGTATAATTATCAACAATTAATGTGTCATTAATATTTTATTATGTAAATCTAAGCTATTTTCATTTCACGTGTTTTAAGAATCGCAAGCGATAGCCGAGGAGGGAGCAGCCGCTGTAAAAGTTACTTACAACAATATAAAAACACCAGTTCTTACCATAGACGATGCCATAGCCGCTAACACTTACTTCAAGAAACCTCTTCCAGACATTACCATTGGACACCCTGACCGTATGTACATTTGAAGTTAATAAAAACTTGTTTTAATGTTGGGGCAAAACATGTATTCTTGCATCTGTACATTGTAAAATGGCCTCTCTAATACTATTCTGTATTTTAGTAATAAAAACACACAAGCACGCGCACACACAAAACCTGCCGAGTTTGATCAAAGGGTAGAGCAAGTATTAGCAATCCAGGGGTTTTCGTTTCAATCCTTGGGCGATGAGAAATTTCTGTAACACATCTGATCTTAGACATTTAGTCTAACTGATCCTCTGTCTCTAAAATTATTTAGAAATCATAGGATCATTAGTCGGTCACATGTGGAGAAATTTTATATTACTGGTTAGTTGTCAAGGAAAGCCGGTATGGTGGATTGATCGATGAGATATGACCGAAAAAATGTGTTTAAATCCGCGTAAAAACGAGAAAAACGAGGAAATAGTGTTAAAAAAATAGAGCCATAAACATGATTTTCATGGTCGATCTAGCTGCAGTAGAAAATGATTATTTAGCGTATGGTAATCTTATGTGATCTGTTTTAAAGTAACGCTTATAAATAACCTGTCATGTATATCAAAATAATACCGTCTTATTTATGAATTATATATTCATATTCTGTTTTATTTCTTGGTAAATTCAGAGGTTATCGCCGGTGCAGCACATCAGTTGAGCGGTTCATTCAGCACAGAAGAGCAGTTACATTTTCACATGGAAACACAAGTATGTGCCTATGCATTTTCAAATAGATATTATGTATACGTGCACTCATACATATTTCTAATGTATAAAGGTGATTTTTCAGTTGTTTTCCATGTTTTGTACTCTTAAATGTTCGTCAAACAAAGAACAAATGAAAACTTAATGAAAAAAAAAGAAAAAAAGGAGAGAAAGTGACAATGACCAGAGTCAAAATTTCAAATAATGGCTAGCACGTTTTTTTAAGGTAACATAAGTTTCGTTGCATAATTTGTTAGTATGCTTTTATGATAGAAATAGCGTTCAAGCAGCTTCTGTGTCGTCTGTGATAATGAACGCGCTTAGTATTTTTTCTTGTTGCCATGGCAAACAAGGGATTACTAAACGTTCAGTACCTTTAAATATTGTATTTGATTCTTGTTCAAAATAAAACAAATATTACACAAACAAGTTGTTTGTGTAACATCAAAAGAAACATTATTTTACTAAATTCTGTCTGGGGAGTGCCTTTATTAATGTAAGTTAAACTTATAGGCTGTAGCCCGAACCATTTGCTTTAATTGAAGTGTTGAGATTCTTTAAATTCTTTATTCTTTTTCTGAATAATTTGCATTCAGTTTTGTATTGAATGTACCCTTTTATATTACATGTAAAAGTTTTATAGTAAACTTTTCTGTACGGAGTTTCTATCAAAATATTGTTGGACTATAATTGAATAATCATTATATTTTTGAAGTAAATACTTTTATTATACTTCACGTATTATACTTTTTACTGCAATGTTCCCAGTGGTTGGGGTGAGTAGTCTGTATAGACTTAAGAAAACGTGATGTTCTAGTTCTCTCCCCTGGTCGCTCTGCAGAAATTGCACTGTTACCCTTAGAGACATGTTATTTTTGAGCATTGTTTAATTTGTATAATTCATAAATTAAAGTGATATTGTCCATAATAGAAGGTAATCAATATTATAAATACATAAGTATGATATTATGTTGATAGTATTTATAGTATATCGTCTGACAACAATTAAACCATGCAAGAATAATATCTGAATGTTGTAGCTATATTTCTTTTGTTTTTATCAAAAGTTGAAGGACGTATTAAAAATATGCCCGTTGTACACCAATCCACTTTAAACGATATTTTCAAAAGAACATCACTTTGTATTTCTAGATTTATTAATACTGCTGATTAAAATAATTTTGATTTGCTTTAAAAACGTTTTCAAATACCTTAAGAAAAAAAATCTGCAAAAATGCATATGATAAGTATTCCTGTACAGTGAAATCTCGACAGAGCGGCTACCGGTAGAGCAACAACCTCTGTTCAGCAATAGATTGAAAAATTTCCCCGACTTTAGATTTAACACTTAATTTTCCCTCTCTTAAGCATCACACCTTATCAACAACCACCATCTATGCCTGGTCTGCAGAGATTTTACTGTATTATATACAAATAACAACTAATATATTACAGGCCAGTGTATGTATCCCCACAGAGGATGGCCTTGACCTTGTATCAACCACACAATGGCCGGATTCTATACAACACTGTGTTAGTAGAGTGACAGGGATACAAAAAAGCGCGTGAGTATTCAAATCATAGACCTGTATTGATAGAAAAAAAAAACACCAACTGAGCGGACCGAATCTTTAACATTCGTCTAGTGTTCTGGATAGAAAAAACCTACAACATAATAATGTGTTGTTTTTTTAATCAATAATGGTAATTTGTATTGTTCTTTTTTACACTTTGTCATTTTGCCACTTTTATGACAAATAATTTCACATTCAGAGCTTCGTTGTGGTGCCGTTATATATATATATATATAAATATACGTCTTGCGATATTTAACGGTAATGTTGCGACATTTAACGGCAAGGGAAAATCATGCAACATTCTCTGTTGTATGCATCTATTTGTCAAGGCATTGAAAACTCTGACAAATAAGACTTTTTTATTCATAAATAAGGTGACTTATATAGGAAAGGACAAGATAAAAGAAATATATAGCTAACATAGATAAACAAACTTAAATATAATCAGAAGTCTGATTACATAACTGATAAATATCAGCATCATTCCAAGTATCAACGTCCAGCATTGGTTGTTATCGATACATTACGACTATCATAAACTCGTAAAAAATCGGCTTATTTCGTCAATCTTCGTATCCGCAATAGTCCTTATAATCGCCTGTATGGCCATGATTAACGCATAATATGTGTCAATTTACGCTTTCCGAAATAATATTTAAACTGGGAAGTCAATCAAATTGATACAAATCATTGAAAAAGCAAAACAAAAACAACAACAACAAAAAAACAACAACAACAAAAAACCCCAACAAAACAAAAACAAAAAAACACACAAAAAAAAACAACAAACAAAAAACAAAACAAGAAACAACAACAACAACAACAACAACAACAAAACAAACACAAACAAAAAAAATGAAGATAAGATGTTTTATATCATAGTGATTATTTATTGCAGTATAAATGTAACTGTAAGAAGACTTGGTGGAGCGTATGGCGGGAAGATAACCAGAAACAATTTTGCTGCTGCGGCGTGTGGTCTGGCCGCCAAAATCACCAACAGGTGCGCCATTAATTAATATTTATCTATTGTTTTAACATTCCTCTTACATTGCAGAAATGAAATGTCGGATAATTGAATATATTCAATATATGTATGTTGAATAAAAATTAAATTTATGTCAATTAAGACGTATATATAGTAAAAGGAATTAATAAAAATGGTATGACTGTTTTACTTGCACTGTTATGCCAATGCCACTGATGCATTTTTTCTTTGTTGTCAAATAATTGCATTAAAATCAATACAGAGTAGTAGATTTTCGTTAAATGTAATTCAATATTTAATAATACATGTATAAGTATTGCACCTATTATAGATAATTAAAAAATAATTCAATGGAATGCACTTTTCCTAGCTGCTGTCAGAAGATCACTTTTTAACAATTTTCACCAATTAGTGCTTTAAAATTTGACAAGGAGATGGAGATGGAGATGCCTTTCTGATTGTCTGGCACATCATTGTCTGTCTGTCTGTCCGTTTACCGTCTTTCTATCCGTCCGTCCCTCTGCCTGTTTACCGAATGTCTCTCTGTTTGACTACCTGGTTGTCTATATGTTTTCAACACGTATCATCAAAGTACATGTAATTTAATAGTCATTTATGGGGAAAACTATCTGTGTATTGTTCTCACTTTTGTCATTTTTTTTTATTTCAGGCCGGTAAGAATGAGACAGACGATTCAGAGTAACTACATAATGTTAGGTCGCCGGTACCCGCACAAAATAAATTACCGCGTTGGTTTTGATGACAGCGGTAAATTGCTCGGAGTTGATGTGAAGTTTTATGAAGGGCTGGGATGCCTACCTGACGAGAAATCCGCTGCTATGTTTCCAGGATCCATTGATAATGGTTTACATATTTTAGTGTTTCGAATCTTTTTTTTTATCTGTTTTTATTTGTTTTTTTATAAATGAATAAACGCGGAATTATACGATTTTTGTTCGTGATAATATGATTCAAAAATCATTTTTTTATAACAAACATTTTATTAAAGGAACTCCACCGAGGCCCAAATATCTAAAAAAAAAAAAACATAGAAAAAATAAATTCTTGAATAAATCAACAGTAGCGGAATATCAGAAATGCATACAAAAGATAATAAAGAAATATACACAAAAATAAAGTAAACATCGTAATTGTTCTATTTTTAGCTATATTGGAGTAAATAGCGTTGCAACGCTTTTTCAGTTATGGGTCACTTTTCTTAATTGAATTGATTATGATAGAAAAATGTGAGCGAATGATTTGAAATTTTGTTTAAAAGTTATTAGGCAAGACCTACATCAAACAGAACATTTAAATCAAAAATTATTTCCAGTCCCGTTATGTCAAAAAACCTCAGCGGAGACCCTTTAACATTGATTGATAATGATAACAGTTATTATTACCTGATATCTTATATAAATGTAATTTGGTATTTTTAACTGTTTTCTAAAATTCTACAAACGTCAACGTTCGTGAACTGTTGACAGGTCAATAATTTCGATTGATTCCCTCGCGTGCTATGGCTGGCGTCATTGACGTCATAGAGAATTTCCAGTGGAAGCGTCAGTCAATCATGATCATAAACCAGACGTGACGTAACATAGTTATAGTATTAAGTTTAATTATTAACATATGTGCAAAACTATTTTCTTGTTCCTTTTTTCTTCCGCAAGTACTGTTAAAACAGTAATTGATCAGGTAATAAAACAGTTATTTCATATGTGATTTGGGAACAGTCAAACAGTTGTCACTCAGTGTACAGTAAGGGAAAGTGTTTTGAACTGTAACCCTCGGCCTACGGTCTTGTGCAACAGTTCAAAACACTACCCCCTCCACCTCGGGCCAAAAATTTGACTGTTCCCAAATCGCATATGAAATAACTGTATACTATTTCATCTTTGTATTACATTCTATTGATTCCGCTGACGTTTTACACATATGTGTATACACGTCAACGACGTCGTTTATTTTTAAATGTTTGTCTTTGATTGATTTGCGATTTGAACTCCTAAATTTTCTAGAGCAAGTTATATATTTATGTATATGAACAACAGAAAATAATAACTAATCTATCTGTAACTTTAATAATGGCGCTTAAAATTTTTTCGGAACAAAACTGAATTCATGCATGATTTTATATACATGTATATATATTTCTTGGAGATATTTAGTTCTGTTTTATATTGTTCTCCGGTTTCAGCAAATGAAACAGTTTCATAATACTTTACATTTATATCAATGGGTATCTTTTTTCAAAATCTACAATTTATTTTATTGAAAAAAATGTTTCAAAATATTTTCTTATTTTTCTACAGTAATTAGAGCGTATTAATTTTTTTAATTAAAGCTTATTATTGTCCCAACTGGAAGATGAGTATGGAAGCTATGCGGATGAATACAGCTATGCACACATCAACAAGAGCCCCTGGTATGTAATTCGGTTACATTATATTGACTGCAAAACTTGTAAAGACTTGACATGTTAAGTCTGTATAGCGGTTTATCCTGCTTTTTATTTGTGAGAGTCCATTTGAAGTATTTATTAAGGGATTTCAATATCAAAATACAAAAATGAGTTACAAATCAGTATAAAGTCTGGTAGGGCTGACCAGGCTCTATAGACCTTTTTACAGTACGATTGTTCCATAGCAACGTATGTTGCATTTCGCGCATGCGCATTCTGCAAAGGGCAAAAGCATAATAACGATAGCATACATTTAGCACACTTAAAGTCTTTGAAAGGCGTGATTTCAAGTTATGTCACCCAGAAAAAAAGAATTTTTGGGATGAATTAAAGCGGTAAGTACTTAAAACGTGAATTGATATTCATAACAAATATACAAAATTAGCGGGTCCTCTGTTCAAGGCATCATTAGGTGACTTTTTCATCAGTAATTTAAATTAAAACAGCAGGGTGTTAAATATCACATTTTATTACCCATGTATAACATAATATTACACAATTGGTATTCCTTTGAAAGTGGATTGGCAAGGTGGTAAGTGTCAAACAGATTGACACGTGACCGGTTGTTATTTGCCAGCTACTAACAATATTATTCAACAGAGTCGTAAAAGTACCATGACATAGTTAATTACTTAAAATTATGTAAATAGTTAATCGTAATTTAAGCAATTTTTATTTATACCAATCTCATCAATGTTTATTGATTTTGTGAAGTGACAAATAGTGTACGTGACGTTACGTTACGTTACGTTACGTTATGTTATGTTATTCCACCACCCATCACGTGTTCCGACTTTTTTCCTTCAGAATGATATTTAACATCGATTTTAAATGTTATTAAAATTTATATAAAAATGTTATATATTATATGTAATAATTTTTTTTGATATGGACGTTTTCAACAACAATTAAATTGACTTCTTTATTTGCATATATAATATTTCCACATATTTTTACAACAATAATCTCAATGTCAGGTCAGTGATCGTAAGGGGGAATTCTTCAACAATCGTCTTTTCCGTGCTTTTTTGGGCAATCTTGGCCACAAAGCTTTAAAGGCATCTTTTCTATGTCTGTTAAAAGCTATTATATATGATTTTCTAACTTTTACCTTAAACAAACTCGGAATTGTCTATGAATTTCTACTTCATTTCTATATAAGACATGGCTCTTTTTGCCCTACGCAAGTTGCGCATGCGCAAAAAATAATACGACTTCCGGTCATTTTTTCAAAGCAACGTACCGCATCGTAAAAAGGTCTATACCGGTGCCAAAGGCTAACCACATCATTTGGTTGCAGCAAGTTATCTCTATCAAACCGAGTCTGCAATTTTTACATCATATTAAGGTTTTCATTACCTCCTGTGGATCACACATTTTCACCCCTTTTCAGAATTGAATACGGAACACCGGTGTGGCGTGATTTTTTTTAGACACGTGAGGAACGTAAGATTTACATTTTTACGGGTCTGACGAATTCCATGCTACACCAGTTCTGCTAAATCCAGAAAACTGTCTTCTAGGTTTTATCACAAAGGCCCTTCATCTATCCAAGATCTTTAAACATCTTCAAAATTGATTCTTTTTATCTTCTTTAATTTCCTGTACTAAATTTTAATTAATTTTTATTTTTATAAATGTAAGGTTGTTTATATTTTACAATAGTGACGACACCATGCGTATTTATGATTGAGCATATTATGGAAAGAATTGCTAGGTCACTCAACAAAGATCCTGCAACTGTTAAACAACTTAACTTCTATAGAGAAGGACAGGTACTTTATTTTGTCCTGAATTTTATTTTGACTTTTAAAACTTGCTATGTATCACTTTTGTTGCATTTACATACACCTTTGGAATTGTCTTTATTGTGGAATTGACTTTGTAAGTGAAAATGAGGACGAGATCAAACGGTATTTGACCTCCTTTTGAAGAGGTATAAATCAGATGCATATAATTGTAAATCATCAAAAACACCTGCTTTATTCAAAAGATATAGTATCATTATCAATATTCACGTTCATTTTTAATGTCAAACTGCTTTTTTTCTTTTAATTGCATTATATTACTCTACATTACTTTTTATGTACTCTATTGTTAAGAGTCAGGCATAACGAGAGGGAAAAACCAGCAGCACTTTTAAAATAAGAGAAATAATGTTATACAAAAAATACCAACAAAATAATGATAATGTTGAAATATATCATGAAATCCACAAGCTGATAATCAATTTAATAACGCACACTATTGGTTTAAGCAAACCATGCTTTCGGCATGAAAACGTTTTTGCGGCAACTGTACCTGTTTATATTTGACATATTGTTTTCTGTAGTATACTCCGGTTGGTTCTGTTCTGACTCATTGTAATATGAGTGCTGTTATGTCAGAACTGATGACGTCAGCTCAAGTGCAGACGAGACAGTCTTTGTTTACATTCTTTAACAAGGTAAGTGTTTTAATCAAACGTAATTCCATGCTCCCGCCATTTTTGAGTGGGGGCGGGGTTCGGAGAGGGAGTGCATATTGTCCACCAATAACCCTAGAATGTTGTCCGTCTATAGACAGGTTTGTGTAGCGTGTAATTCCAAAAGGATAACAGCCAAAGCCATGAAACTTTCTAAGGATACCAGTTATTATGCGCATTTACGCACGTACCAAGGTAATTTGTCGCAAAGATATAGGAGATCGATAAAGTAGCGTATTTGGTCTTTTGTCCCTAAAACAGCTATGCTTTAATGCACTTATAATTGTACTGGTGTTTTGTAGCAAGAAAGTGAAATGTTTGGCATCCATGTCCAGTGGACACATTCATAGTTCATATTCTAATAGAATATCATAATTATAATGTTTTGTGATCAAAGACTTCTACTACTATAAATATGCTAGTAGTCGCTGCATATTATGGAGCGATTGCGTGGCCTAGTGGTCAAGGCGTCGGACTAGTTATCTAATGATTGCTGGCCGCGTGGGTGTTTAAACCCCGTAGAAGTAAGCCGTTGTTTTCGTGAGCAAGAATTTTTATACTCCTAGTTTGGTACTGGTTGGTTCTAGGAACGGATTCAAGAATGTTTCAATAAACTTATAGCTTCCAATACAATGGAAATAAAATGAATAAGTATCGACTAAACTTCTAGCATATTCAATATTTTCATTATTTGGAAAGTTTGGAATAGGTTTTCCACCATATTGTCTTATCAATATTGTTATAAATAACATTTATCTCCAAGCCTACATTGTAACTATATTGTTATCTATTTTTGCTAATCGACTTTTCTTTAATTAGGATAATCGCTGGAAGAAAAAGTCTTTAGCCGTGGTTCCGGTAAAGTTTGGACTAAGCACTGTTTATAGCATGTATACTGTAAACGTAGCCATTCACAGCAAGGACGGGTCTGTGTCTGTAAGCCACGGAGCTGTGGAAATAGGACAGGGATTGAATACAAAGGTAAACTAGAATCAGTTTTTTTCAATATGAAGAAATACCTTTAATTTCAGTCTTTAGAAGAAGAAAAAACTTAACATAAAGACATACATGGTTATAAAATGGAGAATTTAGTAAACACCCACAGAGAATTTGTTGATTAAGAATTAAACTTTAATATGTAATATTAACATGGATTGTATAAAGACTTTATAATTATACCATCATTTGACTTTCAAAAAAAAAAAAAAAAAAAAAAGGACTGTTTCAATTAAAAAAAATCCGACCTGTGAAATTATAGTTTGTAAGCAACACTTTAACATCATAGCTCAATATGTAAGAATTTTATTACGCAGGTGGCGCAAGTTGTTGCTTATGAGTTAGGAATACCTGTAACTAAGGTAACAATTAAAGCAACCCAGTCGGTATTTAGCGACAATAATACACCAACAGGAGGCAGTGTGACAAGTGGAGAAATTTGCAAGGTTAGTGTCGTGTGAAAAAAATAATTCGACTAGATTAATAAAAAATCGTTTTAAAATCAAATGAGGACTATCTTGAACGATTTTGTAAAATCAAAATTAAACCTTAAAATTATATGTTTTGTGAATGTATTATGTCAAAAGTTGAGTCTTGATTAGTTTCCAGCCCATACTAAATGCTTGACTGTGATATAAATGGACTTATCCTTTAATATTGTGGTGAAATCAGACCACTATTCGCGAGCACTGTAGTTAGAAAATAAAAACAAAAAACAGGTGTTTATAGTGTTTTATTACTTCCCTGTCTCTTGAGTAATATATCAATTTCTGCTTTGTTACCTCCGTGCTTTTTGAGTAATATACCACTATCTGTTCTGTTACTTCCGTGCCTTTTGAGTTATGTATCAATTTCTGTTTTGTTACTTCTCTGCCTTTTGAGTAAGATATATTAATTTCTGTTTTGTTACTTTCCTGCCCTTTGAGTCGTATATCAATTTCTGTTTTGTTACTTCCCTCTATTTTGAGTAATATATCAATTTCTGTTTTCTTACCTTCTTGCTTTTTGAGCCATGTACCTATTTACTACCATATTGTCAAAGGTGTGAACTAGGCACTCCTGTATTTCTACCTTTTTTATTGAAGGGGGCAATTAATTGCTGTCAAGTGCTCATTAACAACATGAAGCCCGTAAAAGACAAGATGGTGGACCCGAAATGGGAAGACCTTGCCGAGAAATGTTACCAAGAAAATGTCGTTCTTAACTCTAGATTCAAGTAGGTACCTTAGTAAGATTATAATCATTATCCGGGTGATAATTATAAAATAATCTTTTCAGCGATAAGTTCGAAAGTAAATTAGGATAGCCTTTCTTTATCAAGTCATTTTTTGTTCGGTTATAACTCTCCCCGGCAAATAAAATGTCATACGGTGTATTTTAAGCTTTACAGTTGGAGGTACACATGAGGTACCCATCCCTGCATTATTTAGGCAAGAGCGGACACCTAAGCTGAGTAGTATATTGGACCGACGTTTCGAAAGCTGGCTTGATAGCAAATATTGCATGACAGAATCCACAGACGACCCTGGGTGGATTCGAGCCAACTGAGGTGAAGGACAAGTGAACGGTCATATATAGCCGGTCACGGACGCCCCTCATTGTGTCGACATATACGACATCTATAAGTAAACTCTTGCCTGGCAGTAGTTGCATAGACACACAAAACATGTTGAACTACACATGTCTTCTCATTAACCTCTATTCTGAGTCATATTTGTCCAAATATCTGTATTACTGTGTTAAATATATCTGATTGAGAACAATTAAAAATAGGGAAGAGATAAGAATTGTTCTTGTTAGAATTGTTTTCACCATTATAGTGTGGCCGGTGTCCATCCAACGAAGCCTGGGGATGAGATTTATCATTATTATTCATACGGTGCTGCCTGTACCGAGGTGGAGCTAGATGTGCTGACCGGAGAGTACCAAATCAATAGAGTGGATATAGTCTATGATTGTGGTGAAAGGTGGGGTTGTTTTTTTTCCTAAACTCTGATGGTATAATTGTATATTTTACATTGATTGAATAATTGATATATTGATTGGTTGATTATTGGTTTTAGATTTTACATACATCACACAGTTAAAAACATTTTCTCTGACTTTAATTAAAGTTTTTTTTATTAAATAGTGCGACATAGAAAAATATAATGATACGTATATATGATAGTTTAAAGGAAAATGTATGTTATTTTAAAACGTGTAATTTTGTTTAGTTTTGTGTAATGATTACCGAATTGGGTTTCCATGGCAATCGTTTATCAAATGACCTCTCGCTTAAATGTCCTAAGTGCTCTTTTCGTAAAACTTTGACATTAGAAGAAAGCAATAAGTAGAACCTGAAAGGAACAATTTGCATTTCTCGACAATTTCTACACAACATATCATATATCTGTATGATGTTTGCATTATGTTTATTTCATATATATCATGCTATATTTTTGTATATTTTACAACAAATAGTTTGAACCCAGCAGTTGATATAGGCCAGGTGGAAGGAGCATTTGTGATGGGTCTAGGTTACAGCCTTACAGAAGAGGTGGCGTACGATCCACAGACCGGCAGGATGATGAATAATGATACATGGGTAAATTGTGTTTCATAATTATTCGATGATTAGTAATTAGAAAAGTAATAAAAATTTAGTACATTCTCCGTGTCCTTTTGAAGCAATTTCTCATTTTTTTAAATTTCATATAAAAACATATTTTAAATCTCAAAAATATTGCAATGGGTTATAGTTAAGGAAATACGCAGCAATCAAATCTTTGGCAGATTCATTTGATCTTTACAAATATTTGCTTTAATAGTATATACAAAGCTTAAATGATGAGTAACCAACGTGCCGATACTATAAACACTCATGGAATCTTTCTACACGAACTTAACAATATGAAACTATACCTGGTCCATAAGAAATATAATTCTCATTTAATTAAACACTTTACAACAAACTTTTTAATATTGTCAGACATGTTAAAAGATACTTATTTTGAGTAAAATTATGTTATAATAGTTTATTACATCTATGTATACCTTTTCCTAAATTGTAATTCTTATATAATATCATACATGTAATTGTTATGTTAAATGCACTAACTGTACAAGTATTATATGCAAATGTTCTTAAAGTTTTTAAGTAAAAGATAAAAAAAAATACGTGCACCAACACAGTGTACGTCATATGGCGACTTTCCAGCTTATTACTGGAGGAAGACCTCAGTGTGTCCGCATGTGAATTATCTCTGGCATGGACAGGCATCTGAGTAGAACCACCGAGGTGCCGGTCCGTGCCTGAAATAATGCACGAAAGGGCACCTGAGGTCTTCCTACACCATTAAAGCTTGAATGTCGCCATATGTCGTACACTGTGTTGGTGCGACGTAAAACACAATCGAAAAAATGGCAACAAAATACCACAGTAACAAAAGAAATTTGCCATTTATATTGTATTTTATTTTTATATATTAGTTTTATCGTTGTTTTATACATCTGATTAACTTTCACTATTTCAGGGTTATCATCCACCTACGAACAAAGACATTCCAATAGACTTCAGAATCAGCCTGTTGAAAAATGCACCAAATCCGTCCGGTGTACTCCGTTCAAAAGGTAAATCAAGACCAACACATATGAAGAACTTTTTTTTTATTTTTTAGACTTGTTCAGTACCTTATACATCCTTTGTGCTTTTCACTTAACCTTTTCACCAGTTTTTGCAAAACGAGTTGTTGTTTTTTTGACATAAGAATGATATTTTTTATACACCGGTTTATGTCAATTAAAATATTACAGCATACTATATTTTTTTGGACAAATAATAAAACTGATAAATCATATTTCAGCAAGTGGCGAGCCTCCATTGAACGCGAGTTGTTCTGCGTTCTTTGCTCTAAGGAATTGTATAGAGGAAGCCAGAAAAGACGCTGGACAAACCGGAGAATTTGACTTCCGTTTGTATCTTTTTTTTATACATTTTTATAGTTGATCTTTCTGTTGCCTACCAGTTTGTAATATATGTGGCCGGTTGCTTGCAGTTACAACTACCGTCCAAGATCAGGCCCATTTAAAGCAAGTTTGCAATATTTAAAACAAAATTTGTACCGTGTTAGTCTATCTTCTCGCTTTGTTTTGAATTGTGGCTGTTTTCAAGAAACAATAATGTTCAAGTATTGTTTAAATCCTTATACTATAGATTTCATCCATTTAATCTGGAACAGTGCATTTGAATTACAAGAGATTTTATTTTTTTAACAAAATTTAAAAAAAGTTGAGCTTCTAACGGATGCAAAGTTATTTCACAACTCTTTGAAGCAGTATACCTCCAGATTCATGCTAATTTTGATGAAAAATTTGAAAATGCATTTAAAAGTAAAATATTGGGAATTGAACCACAAAAGTAATTTACACATTGTACACAGCACTTACAATTCACGTTGATTTCCAATATTTTATTTAAATATGCTAAAATAGCTCTAAACTGCGTTAGTCACGAAGCAGAAATATGGTGATAATTACTGCAAAATTTGTCATATAAGGCATATAAGATGTACGTAATTACTTTTATTAATCATTTTACTTTACTTAAAATCTTAGTATTTCTGAAGTGTGATTTTCTTGAAAAATTGTACATAGTGTAGGCATACAGCTTTAAATAAAATCTGGGGAAAATATCCCTTAAAGAAAATATATTGTGAAACATACTTCAGTGTGTATTTTGCTGGTTCATTTATTTAATAGATTTTCCCCTGACTTTTCAGAACCACCTGCGACGATTGAAAAGGTCCAGCTGGCGTGCTTGGTCGATCCATCGCAATTTAGTATATAATCTTTAATATGAACAATGGACAGTGATAACAACAGTTTACGAAAATAACACAGAAATATGGTAATATAGCGAAATACGGTACAAAAGCGTGCATTTCCAATTTGCAGTAACCACAAATTTGTACGTGTTATAAGTGACATACACATATGTAAAAATACATGTTTATTAAAGATTGATTAAATCAAGTGTTATAATATCCAATAAATTATTTGAAGACACTTATTATCGTTATCATGTTGTGTTTTGTATAATCATTAGAACGTGACATGTAAAATGTTTTTATATTTAACTGCATGACAAAAGTTTATGTACAAATGTTTAATAAATGTATGTTCTGTTCTAAAATTGATGCGGACCAATAAGATATTTTGGAAACGTTGAACATGAGTTTTTTTTATATCGTTTTGTAGTTAGTGTGTAAATCGATAGCATATTATACATACAGACAAAAAAATATTCAAGAATGTTGAAATGTGTATACATGTATTAGTGAAATATAAAATTTCATGGTTAATTAACGAGTATATTAATTTGATAATCTGCTAATTGTCAGATATATGTGTGACATAAAAAGCAATTATTATAAAAATGATCAATAACATTTTTTTTCAATTTAATTTTTTTTTATAATTGATATACTGATTACATTTGTATGTACATATACATAGGTCTATGTTTATCTACATTGAAAGTATTACAAACAATTATAATGTAGAAATAGCTTTATAAATGATATTGTTAAAGTTTCTTGATTGGAGAGTTATATCTATTTTACTTGGAATTGTAAACATTGAACCTAGTATTTGAAATAAGTTTACGTATCTGAAGAAATACAATAAATTGTTGATAATTACATATTTGAAGATGTTTTGTTTAATTAAAAACCCGTTTCTACCTTTAATCAAAATGTTATAAATAAAAAAAGCTCTAATTACCCCCTTAACATCAGCTTGATATAGTTTCCGAAGGGAATCACAAATAGAATTGAAATATATTTTATGCTGAGATTATTTTACTGTTTAGTGTTTCAATGTCGGAGTTTGAAAATGTCAGCTAACTCCAGCACACACGCCGCCACTCAGAAATCGCTACGGTCTTTAAGTGGTTAAATAAAGTGTAGTTTAATACTTAGTTGTATGGTATTAATCAAGTGCCCCTACAGAGGGGCGCCTGATGTCTTCCTCGAACAGAAAAGCTGAAAATTCGCTATATAATATTTACTGTGAAACAGAAAAGTAAGGAATTAAGGCTGTTAAAAAAGGGAAAAATATATGTTAAAATTCACTGATAATATAGATCAATTTTTTTTCTGTAAATATATTAACCTGTTTAAAAATTATTATCCAGTTTGGAAGGATTTTTGTCCTGAACATTCTTAAGTACTTAAAGTATCTATGTAAATCAAACCAATGCAAATGAAATCAATGCATATCAAATTATCTTAATCAACTCAAATCAATGCAAATCAGTTTGATTTAATCAAATCAAATCAATACAAAATAAAGTGCTTTTCTTTTGATTACTACTTTAGACATAAAATATAGGTGTTACAATATGAGATAAAAATTTGAAATAATTGTTGTATATAATTGTGACTGTTGTTCTTTTTTCGTCGCCCCCTCTCCCCCCATATGGGACTCAGTTTCATTCTTAAATTCCACTGTTGATCAGACTTGCAGCTGGATAAATTTGAGAGTGTGGCCCTACGGAGGACAATTAATAGTAAATGATTTATATCATAAATCTCTTAGAGATGGGGCCCCACGGAGTACAAATACTAAATGATTCATATTATAAAATGTCATTTGGTATTGTTTAGTGATGCTTAATATGACAAAATAGAGAAGAGGGAGCATTCGTATACAGTTCAATATAAATTCAGATATCTTTGCTGAATAAGTTGGGAAACAATATATTAAAGCAAACATTTAAGAAATAAATTTTGTGTCGTTTTTTTTTTATCTCAATATTCGATAAATTGGCCATAAAATGAAAATGACGGTCATGGATTGAATATATGAAGATTTTTTTTATGTTAAAATCAAATCGATTAATATTGGATTATTGAAAAAATAAATTCATACAATACATGAAAAAATTGTAGTGAATTGATGTTTAATGTTTTGATATACACGAATAAATACCAAATAAAGTTAACTGGACTGTTCAATCATATATTTTATTATGATAATTTTATGGTAAACTGCATGTTTTTCAAATCATATCGGTTGAATGAATAATGGTATATGACTTATATTTAACGAGGCAATATAAAAAGTTATAAACAGTCGTGATGTACATGTATCTATGCCGATAACGTTACTAGAGTGTATGCAAAGGAGCCGATGTGTATGAAATTGACTACTCCAGTTTCCAATAGTTCTATATTACAAGCTAAATATGGATGCATTTTCTTTACATTTATGTTTCCAAGTTGTGGGAAATCCTATTGTGGAAAAAGGTAAGATTTTTGTAGTTAATTTGTCATTTTTATAGTTCTGTAGAATGAATATAGTGGCTAGGCTGTAATGGTAAACGAAATGCATGAATAACAACCTTTTTAAGAGTGAATGTTTTGTCAAAGCCAATTAGGAAATTTGAAAAAAAATGAGGAAAAAATAACAAGAAATTCACTTCTGAATATTTAGCATTCAAAATTACACGTGACCAAATTGTTAGCTTAATCAAGGAGCCTGCTCTAGATTACATATTCTTTTCGTAGATCACTTTCTGGTTTTATTACAATATTGAAATAAAAATAATATAAAATGTATATGTGATATACAATAGACACTGGTCGAAGTGTAAATGTATAACTATAACTAACTTTATAATTATATAATTTTATAAACTGATCAGTCAATTATGTATTCAGTAAACATAAAATATTAAATTATATCTCACATCACTTTCCATGGATACAACTTCTATATTCTGATAAAAAAAGGGATTTTACTTAAGTGGCAAAAACGGAGGAAATGGAAATGATGAGAATAATTCTCGCTATCGTAGTTTTATGTGCAATGAAGTAAAATAAATATATTAGATATAGACAGATATATTCCGGTATAGAATACATATGAGTGTATATGAGCTAAATATGGATGCATTCTCTTTACATTTGTGTTTCCAAGTTGTTGGAAATCCTATTGTGGATAAAGGTAAGATTGTTTATAGTTAATTTGTCATTCATTTAGAAAGAATATACTGGCGAGGTTGTAATGACAAACGAAATACGTACATTAACAGAATAGTTGTTTTGTCAAAGCCAACTAAGAAATTTGAAAAAAAGATTTAAAAAAAAGACAAGAAATAGATTTCTGAATATTTAGCATTCAAAATTACACGTGGCCAGTTAATCAAGGAGCTAGCTCTAAATTGCATTTTTTTCGTATATCTCTTTCTGGCTTTATTTACTAGTTTTATTTCAAAATTATATTAAAATGTATATGTGATATACAATAGACACTGGCCCCCAAACAAAAAAAAGATAGGAATGAATCAGTATAATAAATGATAAACAAATTTACCATTTATTCCCAATTTATTATAGATGGAAATGACATGCAAATGAGCAAATGCATTATGAATAAATTGTTAATAAATCAGTGAAATGAATTGGTAATGAATTGGGTCCATTTACCAACTTATTATAAATTGTTAATAAAAATCAGGTTAACAAATGGGTAATGAATGTGGTCCTTTTCTTGACTTAGTCAATGAATTATCAACAAATCAGGTCAATCAATTGGCAATAAATTAGGTTCGCTGACCAACTGATTCATTAATGAATTGCAAATAAATTGTTAATGAATCACTAATAAATTGTATTTTTTCTTCTTCCATAAACCGAAATTCAATGTATTAATGAATCATTAACAAATCAGGCTTGTCTGCTTATATTTATCTAATGGATTTTGAATAAATGCAGGTTCCAATGACGGTGTCAATTCCGGAGAAAAATATGAAAATAATAATAATAATATATCTCGATAAATTTTATTTATTTTTCTTTTATTTTTTACAAACAAAAGCTGACTAGATTAATCAAGAACATACAACAAGATTAAAATTTGTGAAAACATCTATGCCACCACATCATAACATTGAAAACTCATAATGTACGTGCATAGCTCATTTCATAGATATCCCTGCAAATAAAACAGGTAATGTCAGGTAAACAAGTAAAGGGGAATAATTCTGGAAATATTCGTGCTTGCTGTTAGGAATATATTTCTAGTTTTAGAAACTAGGGCTTTATTTCAGTCTGAAAACATCTTTGCCTTCCTTTTCAGTGTCTGTCTGGAGCTACACCTTTTTATTCCTATAATCATTAAATGTTGAATCTCTATACTGAGGCAATGAATGGCATACTCTGAAATAGAAAAGAAAATTCTCATAAAAAGTATCATATTTATAAATAAAATATCAAAATTTAAACTTAGACTTTTTTTGTTCTATTTGCAATACAATCTGAATTTGAATTTCAACTCGAGCCAAATACACTAAAGGACTCAACCACTTTGGACTGTACATGTTCTATTGAATAAAAACCAGCAGTATATTTCACAAAGTCCGATGATAGATAAATATTTGTTGATAAAACAAACGGGTGAATGTTCGATTTCATTTTCAACAGAGGAATGAACAAATATTTTGTAGCAAGTCCAGATTTTTACCATTTGCTTCAATTAAATTTAAAACGAAATTGAAAGGCTATGACATTGAATTACTATATGTACATGCATGAACAAAATTCAGATTGAGAAGTATTATTTTTTATCATTTACTTAATATTTAAAAAGCACATTGTCATTTTTTAAAATGATTAATATATATGTAGCCCTATACTTACGCTTCAAAGACTCATATATGTCATTTCCTTGGAATACCCTCGTCCCATAACTAATAGCAAACTCTTCACGGTCAAAGAAGCCGTCCATCTGTATTTTATTATCTCCCGTTCATCTGCTTTTTACCATCTCATCAGAGTTGCTGATTTTTACGTTCTGTCCTGTCTTTGCTGCTCTTTTCAGTTTTCTGCGAGATAACTAAGTAAAAGAAAACTAGTCTTCTGAAGTCACTTAAAATAAAAAAGAACATCATTTTTCATCGCATTCAAATGTGCAGATGAGCTCAGTGTGAAACAATGCAGATTTATGTTTTTAAAATGGGCTGTACATAGATATCCTCATAAACAATGCATGTACATGTGTGCATATTTTAAAACTTGTATCTTGTATCATAAATATTTTTCAATCTAAATCAAATGAATAAAAAAATGTTTAATTTAAGGTGGTGCCATTAGGGTGGGACGAATCGTCACTAAAATGGGGCGAGTCGTTATGGGGCGAATCGATCGTTATCCTAATCTGCACATTACTCCAGTAAATTTTATTTTTTGTCAACTTACATATGATATAGATCTAGAAGGTTTTTAAAAACGCTATGTAGAACGAAAAGAAAATTTTGAACTTACCGTCTATCAGTAGTCTAGATGCCTTGATATTGTTTTTTTCCATATTTTTGTGTAACACCACAAGTTTTCATCTTCCAAAATAACCGCCTTTTTCCTATGCATAGAATTAATGCAAACGAAATGTTATTCCTAGCTACTATAGTATTGTATAAATTTCCTAATTTTGCAGCTGCAATGACAAAATCTGTAGTAAGTTAGTTTGTTTCTGACATTAGTTATATCAAAAAAGAAAGAAAATTGTTTGTATGGTAAGATATCTTTTTTGGGGGCGCAAGCCCCCAATGTAATTACGATAAATTCAGCTTACTACCTCTTGAACGCTTCTAGGCTATCTAGCTGCGCTGAGCAAAAATAGTTCCAATATTTTGCCATAATTTTCAGATCATCATAATACCTTATCTATTTAAAAATTGACTGGTCATTTTATTACTAAATTTTAAATCCTTTTATCACAAAATTACATATACCATTGCTTTACGCGATTTGAATATTACTACGCTAGCAGTCGATAAAAATTTAATGAGAACCAGTTTTAAATTTT